GCCGCCGCCATGGCCTCGGTACCCTCCGCCGGCTGCCTCCTGGCCAAGAACCAGTACTACAGAAGTAAGCGCTCGGGGGACCGGGAGGGCTGCTCTGGGGGAGGGAGGTTGAGCTTCCCGAGCCGGTGTCCGGGTTGTTATTGCTCATGGAAAAAGTCAGAAAGTGTTTCAGGTGGTTTCTAGATGAGATGGAGGCAGAAGGGTGGTTTTGCTTGGTAGTTTTTAATTGCTTGGAGAGTTTTCTATTATATCAAAGAACTTTAGTTTTAATGAGCATCTGCTTCTGGTTATTCATCTACTTTTCTTTTTTCTATTTAGAATTGTTCATTAGGGATATGTAACTTTTTTTAATCAGTTATAAAATATGACACGGAAAAAGTTTTAGCCCAGCAAGTCCTGGCTGTTAGATGTACTTTGTATTTACTTTACAGGCTTAGAACACAAAATCAACTCAAATTTTTATTTCTAAATATGTGAAATACTCACTGCTTTGGTATTACATCTGGTATATTGGGATCCCTTTATACAGGATGGACACTATAGCGTGAGAATAGTATTTAGTAGTATCACAATGGAAAGTATGGCAATTATGTTGTTTTAGACTTGAATATTCAAAAATAAACTCATTTGTTTTGATAGCAATGTGTACATGATCATAACATTTGTCACTGATTTCAGTGAAAGTTATGTAAACACATCACAGTATGCTTTTAAGTGAAAAGACGACTGAGAGATCAACTTACATAAAAGTTATTATATAAACAACTATAGTAGAATGGTGTATAAAATATAAACATTATATTTTGTAGCTAAGTAACTTATCTTTTAGATTGCTTCCTCCAAGATAGTAGCAGGTCTGAAAAATTTTTGGAATAGGAAAACTGTACTCTCAAATAATTTTTTTAATTTATTTTTTTATTATGTGTGTGTCTGTTTTCCATGAACAGCAAGACAGAACTCGGAATCCAGTGTTTCTTCCAGCTCCTCCTGCTGTTCGGATGCTGTAAACATCACAGACCAGGACAAAGCATTTCATGGTATTGTTCCCTTCTTTCAAACAGTATTCTGGTTTTGCCTTCTGTTACTCAGCCAGTGTCTAATAGTGTGGGCTTTTTCCCCTTTGGCAGGGTTACCTGACTTAATTGATAGGTGTTGGTGGATAAAAAGCTTTTTCCATAGTGAACCGTCTCCACCAACTGTTGGCAGAAAAACACTATCAGCAAGCAGGTGAGTCCTGTTTTTACAGTGATGGGTATAACTTATTCATTCCATTTTCCTTTTGGTCAAAAGTGTTACTAAACAAGTCATAATTGGCTAAAACTATCTGTGGGCTACAATGTTAATTTGATGACTTTGATAAAAGATACTGCAAGTGTATGGCTGCAGAAGCTTCCCATGTTTTCATTTCAGTAGATGAACTCATATGCTACTTTGCATCAAGCAGGTGCTAGTGACTGTAACTGTTCTACACTTATAGTGATATTTATTTAATTCTCTACCTATAGTATTTGCACACCCACTTCTGCAGTTTACTCACTTTATGTTAAAAATTTGATACGAATACACTAAAAATACTTAAGCATGTAAATATCTTTGAGGAAAAATGTAACGATAAACCTCCTCATAACCTTTTATATATATATTTCTGCAGTACCAACAGTTGAATATGATGGCATGCTGGCTTTACTGACCGAGATATTATGTACAGACTTGTTTTTCCAAGAGGCTTGGGATCTTCCTGATGTCTGGGTTCAGCTGCAAGAAGAAAACAAAACCTTTAGGAGGGTGGAAAAGTGTATTTTCAAAATATTTGTCAGTAGCTTAAATGATATTGCTTAATGGACATGTCCATGGCCTACCTTGTTCATTAGAGTTGCTGTAATTTGAGATGCCTCTCTAATGAAGTTGCTTGGATTAAATATCCTGATGACTGACTTGGATAGAGAAGAATGACATTAAGATATTGTAGGCTTAGGATAAGCGTTTGTATTGAATGACTTTGCAATAGGTGACATTCTTAAGTTTTACCTTTAAGATATCCGCTCTATAGGCAGTCACAGTGATGTGAACAAGACCCAGGTATATAGTCTAGAGCAGGACTGTTCTATGGTACATGTTTTCTTCAAGTATTTGTGTACCAGTTACAGGGAGTAAGTTTACAAGAATGCTTGTTATTGGGCTTTCTAAAAGCAAAGCTGTTCACACAAAAAAACGGTACTTGGTTTCCTCTCTTTGGGCAGGGTGTGTAAATCTCAACCTCAAATAACCAGGTACAACTGTCATTCATAACTACGTGTGTTGGTATTTGAGATCAGAATGGAATTGATAAACCAGAAACCAGTAATCCTAATGGACACTGATATCTTCCAAGCAGAAGAGCAACCTTAGAGTTGATACTCCTATCTCTGTTACAGATTACTCTCACTTGCTTTGCTGTAGCTTAGAGCTACTTGTTCTCAAGTGACTAATCCTAGCAATATTCACTGCTGTCTGTCAGCTTGGTTATGTGCTAGATCTGGCCAAGTGTTCAACTCAGTCACACTAATGTTCTCAACCAAGTCTGCCTTTGTCATGATTTATGGTCTTGAAGATACTGTAACAGCTTCATTTGGTCTTCACTGTTGCAAAGCAGTACATCAGATTGTTCGTTCTACTGGGTATGACTGAAATGCATCAGAGGTCATAGAAAATAACAAGTATTTGGCTGGATGACATAATTTCTGTAAATAACCTATGCAGCTTTTTTGATGTACTATCACTAAACCTACCTTGACCTTTATCCATCAGTGGGTGAAGCTTACAATAGCTAACATTAACCTATAATGAAAAGTGGTGGCTATATTAATGGTTGTCATGGTTATGCATAGGAGTCCAAAGTGTATCAAGTGGCTGCTTCAGGAAGCTTATGGTTTTGGTGGAGACAATAAATGCATGGTGTATGACAACAGAAAAGAACACAATTCTGAAAACATTGTTTCAGGAATCTTTATATTGACTTGTTACATATCTGACTTTATTGCTATTGTGTAGTTTCATCTATGTCCTTATTCTAAGTGTACAGAATGAGCTATTCTATTTTTTTACCTTAAGATTTTTTCATTAATAAAGACTTAATCAAGACTTGGTCTGACTTCTTTTTAGCCTCTAATAGCAAAGCGATGTTCAGTGTTGCTTGTAGTGTGGGTAGTTTGGAGTTTTTCAGGATTTTTTTTTAAAAGTGAAATTTAAAATTCCTATGAAAGACTTTGGAGAGGGGTGTGTGTGTGTGTGTGTGTCACTTTCTCCCTTTAGCCATTTTAAAGTCTGATGTGAGGTGAAAAAGGAACAGAGGAATATAAGCCAGGAAAAAGACCCTAAACTTTTTTCTCTAAGAGCATGTTGTAAAGGAGGGGGGAAAGGCTACAGTTGTATAACTTGAATGTAGCTTAGAATTAGAAAAACAGGAAAAACATAACTTTAATAGCTGGGTAAGACAGGTAGAAATGTTGGATCAAAGATTAATTGTGATAGGAAAAAAATGGGGGTTTTTTCCTGTTAGAAGGGCTATAGGTAGGCACTTTTTAATGAAGTTAAGTTGTATACTGTTACCCATCTGGAAAAAAAAAGTGTCATAAACAGGATTTGTGTTAGCATGGAAGTACTAAGTTAGATTCAACTGAGTGGGAACTGGAGAGATGGACTTGAAGGTTGTATTTTGCTCAAATGCATGTATAGCACTGATATTCAATAATGGGCTTCTATTTCTTTCCCAAAAGGAAAACCTAAGTCATAGTCTACTGGTCCTAGTAATATCCCATTTTAGGAGTCAAAATAAAAGATAGATCTCGTTATACCATTTATTTCAGTTCAAGAGGGATGAGATCTTCCTGTTGAGTATGTTTAGAGAGAGAAATTCATTACCATGAAGTTATTTTTTTCCTATTTAATGCTGTTGCTACTAATTCTACTGTTTGAAGTAACATTCCAGTTTCTTGACAGTCAAGCATCTCAGTCTATATCCACATTCAAGACTGACTCAAGATAGAAAAATTCCCAGACTTCTAGAGGGTTTTTATTTGCAAATCACATGAACATCCAAATTATGGCAGTTGGTTCTTTATTGCCACAATATAATTATTTTTAGATGACATGGGAATACTGTTTTAAAGTAGTTTGAAAATTTGAATTCTGGTAGGACAAACTTTAAGAGTGTATACTAAACTGATGACCTTACAAATTCTGTTTTTTAGAAAAGTCCATAGAGTATCTCTGAACATACCATTGAGTATTGTAACTGAGAGTTCGCAATGTCAAAGTGGCTAGGATTTTCTTGCCTGTATGAGAACTAAGTAGACTTTATGAAAGCATGATATTTAATACTGTCATACTACATATTGTGGATTGAGAACAGTAAGGATTAACTATAAGGACTAATGCTATGAAATTAGGGGGTTTTTTGGGTATACTAGCCTTTTTTGCAGAAGGAAGAATAATAGGTGAACCCATTTAAGAAACAGGTTTTCAATATAAGAATTAACAGCAAATCAAGCTCAATTTGAGATGTTGGGAATAAGTTGGGGTTTTTTTCTAATACATGCAGTGATTAAGACTTTAGCATTCCTTTGTAACTTCTTTGGAAGGGTAATTTCTGTTTGTGATATTACAACATTCTGATATTTTAAAATATGTGCAAATCCCATTTTTTTTCATGATCTTAACTAATCATGCATTATTTCTTCCTGAAAGCAAACTCTGTCTTATTGTTACTTCTCAACTCTTCTGCAAAGGAAAACCCAAGCAGGGTTTATTCAGCCATTTATACCAGGATTAATGTTGTTTGTAAAACATTTCTTGGATTATTGCTTTCACAGCTGGTGACTGAAAATTTTGACCATGACCATGTTCGGTGTCCTGGCTGACTCCTCAGTGATGGAGGGATTCTGTCAGAATGTCTTGTCGTATGCCATTTTAAGCTGTTCTGGCAGTAGCAGATGTGAAGTATACAGTATGTAATCACTGAAAGATAGGTCTTTGTAGTAGAGAGAGGCTATCAGTAGTAGGGAAGAGAATCAGATCAGTATATTGGGAGGAAGTTAGGGGAAAAGCATCTTTTTTTTTCTTTTTTTCACTTCTATCTGTCTCAGAAACTGTGGAAAAAGAAATCATTGTTTCCTAACCCTATGCAAAAAGAGAAGTATACCCAAAAAATCTCATTTCATAGCAATAGTGATAGTCCTTATAGTTAATCCTTACTATTGTCCATCCATAATATGTAGTGTGACAGTATTAAATATCATGCTTTCATAAAGTCTACTTAGTTCTCATACAGGCAAGAAAATCCTAGCCACTTTGACATTGCGAACTCTCAGTTACAATACTCAATGGTATGTTCAGAGATACTCTATTGACTTTTCTAAAAATAGAATTATAAAAGTGCTTACAGTCACAATGACAGGATATGATTTGGAGAGAGAGGTAATATTTTTATTAGACTCATAACTGGAAAAGAAAGGACTCATGCACTGGAAAAGTTGTTGCTTTTCTTAGCTGTGTCAGCAACCACATGTCCTTAAAACTTTGCTATCTTTGGCTTCAATAAAATAAAATTTCATTTATACCCATAAAACAGCACCCATAATCTCACCTTGCTTGTTTAGCTCAGGTAACAGTATTGGGTACAAGATAAAAATGTTTTGTCAGTTTGTGAGATGCACTGAGGAACAGCCTCTACCATAACAGAAGAGGACTAACAGGAGCGGCTGGATGTCAGTTGCACTACTAGGATCATCTCCTGGGCAGGCTGAGGAAAGGATGTCCAGGAGAAATGCATCAATATTGGCAATAGCTTTTAAAAAATATATTATTCAGGTTTTTTTCTTTTTTTTTTTTCTTTTTTTCTTGTCTGTTGCTCTTTTTGCAACAAGTGAAAAAACACATCATCCTGATTTTGAAGTAGTCAGTGAGGGTTAGTCTGTAAGACACCCTAGTAAAATTTTCAATGGTTGGTCACACTCAAGATCTTCCCCATTGCTGCCAACTTGAATTTCTCTGTGAACAGCATTTCACAGATTAGTCAGGAATGCATGGCTCCAATAACAAGCAAAAAAGTTTTAAAGTGCTGATTCCACCTCCTCTTCAACTATCTTGGCAGTGATTTCCAAAGAGGTTGTACCATTTTGTTTAATTCCCAGCTATACCGACTTCAAGAAGTATTTCAGCACAATAGGAGTGGATCAATAGGTGGAGGC